TTTAAACAGCTTCTGTGTAACTCTACACCTGAGCTATGAAGTCCTCTTTCTCCTCCTAAAGAAATCCAACCATGCATGCTTGAATTCTTGAGAAGAAAGATGCAGGAAGTCCCACCCCACGAAGCGACATGATTGGCTCTTTGGGTTTGTGACACGTGAAACCCTGGAAGTCTGAATCCCGGGTTTCTAGACGGTCATCAGTACAACGCAGTCTCAAGGCAAAAACGCTCAGCCGTGGTGTTGACGGCTTATTGCGCTCATGACGTGTCTTCAGCTGCATGAAACACTGGACTTCTGCAAAGCGGCTCTTTAAAATACGAATGCATCCTTGAAAAGTGAACTCTAACGTGATCTAAACTTTATGTAAATAGGGCCACACTGAGGCGACTGTTTTTAACAGCAAAAAAGGTAAATCGAAAGAAAACAACAAAAACATGCAACACAGCAGTAAACGTGATCAGAGCTGTTAATATAGAAAACCTTACAGCAGTGTTTGTTGGAAACACTTCTGTTTGACTTAATGTGTACTTTTTGCTTTTATTTCTCATTGCTACGCCAGGTAGAGTCACTGATCAACTGCCTAATGTTTTAGGGAAAAAGATAAAATAGTTTGATATTAAAATAGAGTTTTGTCTGAAACAGAGCCTTCTGGTTCTCTGGTCAGAGATTCTTAAGGAAGAAAACTGAGGAAACTTGAATTTTTGTATTAGTTAAAACAACAGAATTAAGCTCAGTCAAGGTTGAGACACTTAGAAAAATAAAACTTGTGTTATGAAATTCTAACGTCACCAGATTGCCGAATGGTGATGTAAAATTCAAATACACTATTGTGCATTGTCGGCTGACGAATAAATTTGGATCCATTTATGTCCTTCTAACAAAGATCTTTTCATATTTTCCATTATCCTTCACTCTGTTTTTAAAGACGGACGTAACCCGGCTGGAATATTTTGCTCATTAGCATAAAGGCACAAAGTGCAATATACCGCCCGGTACATGGTGTACACGTATGACAGGATAAACATGGAAAACCTGGAAAAAGGGCAGGGCTACGGAGAATCCATAAGCCCACAGATTACACAGCGATAGCTGCTCTGGTCCCTGTCAGTCCTGCCCGACGGAAAAATGTGCAGCACTGATAATTATTCCACTGAAAAGTTGTATTTTAAGGGTGAAATGTCTTTTTTCTGATCCTATTAAAACCCTGGTGATCATGTTTTGTCAGTATAATAAAGTTTTATTTGATTTAAAAACAGAATTACCTCACGTCTTGTGGGGTTATTCTGAGTTACCTCTTAATTAGATTAATCTATGTTTACTGAAGGTGAACAGAGTCAGTAGTTTCTAATAATAAGTGTTTAATGCTTAACCAAGTGTTTAGGGTGCAGACTACACGGGCCTCACATGCAGCGAGTCCTCGGTTCAATTCCCGCCCGGCCAGACGACTCGCTGCTCGTCACTCCCTCCATCAAACAGAGACTCAACACGCCCAAAAAGTAAGAAAAGCAGCCAGTGTGTGACTGATGTAATCGCTTCTGACAATCTAGTGTAAAGCAGCAGCATTCAGGGCTTATTAGGGAAACCGCTCAGGACAACAGTTGGGAAATGAGATTAAAAGGTCCACAGAGAGGCACTGATCACACAAAGAGATGCACACAGCTGATAGGATCCCAACTTGTGTGTCTCTTTTTAAACTGTCACGTTATCACGCAGTCTAATCACCGTCAGGAGGCCACGTTTTAACAACGGGAAATAAGTAATTAGAGTACTTGGACTGGGTGGATTAAACCGTCGACCTTTACGATTGATTTGGCAACAGCCCCTACAGCTGCCGGGTTTCCTCACATGTCTTTGCAGGTCACTGAGTTCACTTCACTGTCATTCACTTCTTTGGTAACAACGACACCGAAACCGTTCTGATCGTCTTCAGTGGCCTGGTTTGTCTTCCCTGCCTTCTCCATCTCAATGCATTTCTTCTTCTTCTGATTATACTTTTCAGCACAGACTTTAACCAGCTGACTGAAAAAGAGGAGAACAAACAGAACAGCTATTTATAAAGTCCCTGGTGAAGAACCGCAGAACAGGTTAGCTGCAGCGACGACATGGTAGCAACAAAAAGACACCAGGAGGAAAAGGGTTTGTTCACAGGACAAGAAGGAGGTGTTTAGGTCACACAGTCTGACATGATTCAGCCGTCATATCGCTGAATGAATTTATAAATGCAACCTGCTGGTGAATGAGGCTGTTCCTGGAGTTATGCAATGAAGCCTCGACTACATAACGACAGATAGAGCAGACAGCACAGTGGTAGCTCAATGCCAGAAGTGCATACAGCGTAAAAACTACAATCTGGAAATAGGTTTCTAACAATTTCTACTGTAAAAAAAATAAATAATAATAATACAGACCTGGAACTGCAAAACTTCCATCCATCCATCGTCCATCCATCATCCATGCATCCATCCATCCGTACGTCCATCCATCGTCCATCCATCATCCATGCATCCATCCATCCGTACGTCCATCCATGCATCCGTCCGTCCGTCCATCCATCATCTATCTATCTATCTATCTATCTATCTATTTATCTGCGGGTTAAATTTACATGCATTTAAATTCGATACAGAAGCATCTACCCTCTGAAAACAGGGACAACATAAACAAGAATAGCCTGATTGTGGAGAACAGAGCTGTGGTCCTACAGCAGGTTATCTGCTCTGAGTGCTGCTGCTGTGACTGAGGAGGCTCACAGGGAGTCTTCAGGTGATTTCTTGACTTGCTTACTCACTGAATGATAAATTCTAAATTCATTTGTCGTGCGGCTGCTGCGGTACGTACCGAGTGTGTTTGCGTTCCTGGCCGTATCATAACTTCCTTGATAGTCCAATATCACTGAGAACGGGCAAATACATTGATCTGGTCTGAATGCTGCGCAACTGCAGCGGGTGTTTGAAGGGTGAATCTCAGACTGTCAGGAGTAAGGACTCTGTACAGAACACAGGCATTTAGAGCAGCATGGGGATTAAATCTAGAATAGGCACAAATCATCTACAGTCATCCTCAGATGTGTTCATAGCCTCCCATTAAAGAAGGAAAAACACAGCTGTCAGGGAAATAAGCTGACAAAAGTAACAATAAATAAAACTTTAATGAACATCGTGACGTTGCTTTTCAATTGTGGTTCAACAGAAATATAAAAAAACAAAGAAAACAAAAAGCAAACCAGCATGATGGGACCCGTGAACAAATAGTTTGACCCTCTGAGCCAATCAAAGGTGTTTTCTGTTGCTCTCAGTCAGACTTCTGCACCTGCTGACTTCAGCAAAGTGCTCTCATTTGTCAGTTTTGCTTGTTTTTTTAAATTATTCTTTTCAACCACAATTCAAAAGCAATGTCTCATTTCAATAAATTATAATTTAGCAAATTTTTATTTATTATTACTTTATTCAGTTTCTAGTTATTCGAGTGACTGTTGTGAATTTTGCCTTTTCTTTAATGGAAGAGGGATGAATGCATTTGACAGTATGAAGCTGTGACAGCTTAATGTCTAAAGTGCTAAAGAAATGCAAAGTGCTCCGAGGCTCGAGCCCCCTTTGGACTCTTTCTGTGTACATGTCTGTCAATGCAAACACTGTCAGTATCTAACAAACTTTAAAAAAAAAAGACCTGATTGGAATATATTGCAACAGATCATTACACAACGTTCACATGTAGTTATGTGATCAATGTGCAGAAAAAAAAGAAATGTGTGTTCTCTGCATGGTGACATTAAAACTAAAAATTAAATCTCACAAGAGCTCATCCGAGGTTATCGTTTTTTTTATTTATTCATTGCATGTGCTCCACCTGTCACACACTGAACTGCACTTCCAATTCAAACAGCAAATCAAGCTCTGCAACAACCTTTGAATGTTTGTAGAACAAAGTTCATTATTTATCCTAAATCAAAGTTTGGCAAATATTTTCTGTGTTTTCATTCTGAGCCGTGGAGCCACAACAACAAGCGTCTACGTCTCTGTCAAGCCGCTGCGCCGTGAGTACTCAGACTACCATTCTTTTTAAAGCCTTTGCAGCATTCTCATTTAAAAACGCTGGTTATCGTCCGAGCGCGTGCAGCGTTGGGTTCAGTAAATGTGCTTCTGTGATGGTACCTGTACGGCCAACCAGCACTAAAGGACTAATGCAGCATTTACATCACAGAAGAAACGTTACTGAAAGGTGTTGGTTTGTTTCTCAGTCAGTATTATCAACGGACAAAGCAGCTGATAAGTTTATCGTCTTCTTCACATCTGGAAGGACTTTGTGTTGCGAGCATGCTCTGATCACTCACTGTTCACTAATGAGTGTCCATCTGTGACCTAATTCAGACCGCAGAAGTTCAAGAATGTTGACTCCTGCCTTAAACGTATCCCCGTGTAACATCCCGTCAGCTCTGTTTTAAGATCCGGTGAAATATTTTACTCTGATCTGGAGGTCAAACCCTTTATCTCGTGAATGTTCACGACGGATTGCAGCAAATCGCAAGAAATAGAGTCATTCTGTGTAAATCAGAGAAAGAGCAGCACGAGAAACCGCCCTGGACGTGACTGCAAAGAGTCAAATCGCTGCTGCTCTTCATGATTTATATCAGAAGCAGGGAAGCGTAATAAAACCAGATCATTTGATAAGACGTTCTCTCATCAGTTATCGCGTCCCATCCACAATCCTACATCCGCTCCCATAAAGTGCATCTTCAACGCAGGCAGAAGAAGAAGTTTTTGACACAATTGATCAGTTTTGTAAGCCTGTTCCTTGATCTATAAGTATCTTTGCAAACCTTTTGCCTTTGTCCCTCCACACAGGAGGGTGGGGTGGACTTTGAGCGTTCAAAGCTCCGTCTGTGCCTCCCAGTCCCCCGACTGAGCCCAGCTGAGGGTATAAAAGCCTCAAGCTGAGGCTGCGAAATCAGTCTCGCCTGAGTACTCGCCAACCCCAAGGAAGAGAGCTTCAACGAACCCATCATGGGGGACTCAAAGCTCTGCCTTTTGCTGCTCCTCAGCACATCCGCCTTGACTTGTGAGTAGTCCTTAAAATGTCTGCTATCAAAAAAAATAAATCATGTTAACGCTGATTGAAAGCTAGAACGGCATTTGAGGAGTTTGATTTCATCTGTTTCACTCCACATTATGTAAAAAGAAATGTGGGATGGAAGTTTTTCCTTTTTCATTTGCAGAATAATTTATTTATTTGAAAATACACAAAAATATTAATAAAATTCAAATACTCTGTGACCAAGTCTAATGTAAAACAACAACAAAAAGTGTACAAATACTCCTAAAGTTCATATTTCTGTTTTTTTAAAGAGAGAAGATTTTTGACACAAATAAATTGCTAAAATTTATTTGCAAATTTATTGTAATTTCACAGATATTTCCTGTCTATCTAATAGATGACCTCTTCTATCTAGTTCACTGTTTCACTGCAAATTTTGTTCTGAATTTCTGCATGTTGCTTTTAGTTGAAAGCAAAAATACAGACACTACAAAAAGAAGGAATTCAATTTGTCCATTTTTATTTATAACTTGTTTTTCTCCACTAAAATAAACAAAAAACCCACAAAATTATTAATAAAATTGCAAAAATATAAAATACAAATTAAAAACATTTAACCCCAAAATGTATATTTAAAAAAAAAATAATAATAATAATTTTTTTGGCACTTAAAAAAAATGCAATCGCCAGCTTATAGTAATTTTATAAATAGTTTCTATCTAATACATGAAACTGCCTGTTTTCTGTTTTTTAATTCAATTCAATCCAATTCAATTTTATTTGTATAGCGCATATTTACAACAGCAAGTCATCTCATAGCGCTTCATGGTGAAAAAAGACAATATTGCTTCACTTCAGGCACATATGGTCTCAGCAGGGATGGAAGAGCAGAAAGTAATTCAGAGTGATTAAACTCTGAGGATCATATTGAAGGCCTGTACTGCATATTGCTTGTAGTTAAATGCTAAAATTGTACAGTGCTTTAAAAAAAAAAGAGAGAAGTTGTTTTTTTTGGCTGTTTGTTTTTTTGGGTTATTTCTGAAATACACAAAAAAATATCAATATATTTGCAAGATAGCCCCTGATGATGTCTAATAAAGCAATTTAAAATCACAATAATAACTGTAAATAACTAATTTTCCATTTATTTATAAAGGAAGTCTTTTGGCACAAACTGTTAAAATTCATGTGCAAATTAATCCTAACTTTACACAAACGTCCCTCCTATAAAACTGTCAGTCCATCGTCCAGCTGCACCAGTGCTAGCCCGCTGTGTCCCTGCAAATCCTGTAAACTGTACTGAATTTCTTTAAAGGTGTAACATAATAAAACCTAAAGCATGTCTGAATTTATCAGAAGTGAAACGCTATCCTGTTATCTGTGGAGCCGTGCTACGATAAGAATGATCCTCCAGCGCTGAGGGACGAGTGTAGTTAAAGTATTTTTTTATGTTATTTTTGACTTGCATCACATTTACTAAAACCTAAATGATATGTTTCTGTCTGAACAGTTGCCCAAGATGATGATCAGTCGACCTGCCTGCGTAAGTTACTGCTTCTGTGCTCATCAAGAAGTTTAAGTTCAGTGTTTACACCCAGTCTGTACATTTACAATCATTTCATGGGACTGATTGAAAGTTTCCTCTCGTCTCTCTCCTCTAGTGGCCAAACGGTACAAGACCCTGCACAAGTACGAATACCAATACGAAGCCGAATCTCTGAATTCTATCAACGGAGCCTCACCGCTCCAGAACGGACCCAAGGCTTCTTGCAAGGTACGAGAAAACATATGTTTAAAAAAAACAAACTGTGATGCTCATGTTTTACAGTGATCATGAGACTCTCTTTGCTTCTCATGTATCTGAGAGAGTAAAAGAAAGACATTTACCTTCTATCCCAGGTTGAAATCGAAGTGCCTCAGACGTGTAGCTTCATCATCCGCACCACCGGCTGCCAGCTGAACGAGGTGGTGGACGTGAGCGCAGAGGGTAACCCTGTGTTCGCTCCCGCACCCAGCTCCGACGCCTTTGCTGCTGAGATGGAAAGGTACGTTAGGCCTTCAGAATCACTTCAAATGCTGACATTTGTGGTGAGTCTGCACTGAAAACTAATCAAAACACACGTTTTCTTCCAGATATCCCCTGAAGGTCGTGATCGAGGGCGTGTACGATGTGAAGCTGTACCCCGAGGATGGCGAGACAACGACCATCCTGAACTTTAAGAGGGGTATCATGTCCGCCCTGGCTGTGCCTCTGCTGGAGGAAGAAAAGAACAAGAGAATGGTACGATGGTTTACCTTCAAATCAAACATTACACCACAAACTTATGAAGCACATCACAAACATGTAATTATTCCCACTAATGAGCTTTAAAATCTTCATTTTAGCCCACTATCCACGGCAAGTGCAAGACCTACTACACCATCAACGCCAGAGAGGATATCGCAACCGACATCAGCCTGGAGAGGGATCTGTCCAGATGCGACAGGTTCAGCCCAATCAGAGATCACACCAGCCCTCTGGCCCTCATCTCTGGCATGGTAAGGCGCTCCAAAGACACGGTGTGAAGTGAAAGTTTAGGACAAGTCAGGGGAGCTTTAGTTACGTCTGCTGTGTCATAAAGCACTTAATGTTTGGACCAAGCTGGAGCTACAGTTATAAAGAAACAGCTGGATAACTTTCAGCTGGAATAACGACAGGAATGTTCCCACAACGTTAGCTCACGTTAGCTGCAAGTTCTAATACTGTTTTAATCTAATGCGGAAGAAACGTTTTAAGGATGTTCAACATTTCAAATAAAGCTCCTACGGGGTTAAAAGTTAGGACATAATGTTTCAGCTGGAACTTTCAGAGAATGTTTGGAGGATGTTGTCACGGTTGACAGCTCGTGTTATGTACATGACAAGAAATATAAAAGAAATGGGATCTTGAGAGGGCTGCAAGGTGGTTCGGTGGTCCCGGTGAGGACACCCGGGATCTTTCTGCGTGGAATCTCCATGTTCTCCCCGTGCAGCGTGGGTTCTCTCCGGGTTCTTCCTCCCACAAGGTCCAGAAACATGCTGAGGTTAACTGGTGATTTTAAATTGTCCGCAGGTGTGAATGTGCTTGGTTGTCTGGTTGCCTTCGCCCTGAGTCAGCTGGGATAGACCCCGACCCCCCATGCGACCCTAGTGAGGATTAAGCGGTGTGTAGATGATGGACGGATCTTTTGTTACATGCTGACAAAAGATGTTCTCAAAGCGAGATCTAGCGAATCTTCTCAGAAACCTTAATGGAACTTTATTCTGCCACTTAAGAAGGACTTTACGAGAACTTTCTGGGAGCAAAACTTTCCCAAAATGTCTTCTGAACAAAAACTATCTAGCTGGGGAAGCAGTGTTTTAAAGAAGCAGATGAAGGGAACAGCTACAGAAAAAACAACTCTACATGAAAAATGTTCCTAAATAGTTCAAAACAATCCAGAATGCTAACATCATCATCCGTCTCCTTTCAGCACTATCCTCTTGCTCAGCTGGTCAGAAGCTCCCAAACCTGCAACTACAAGTTTGACAACGAGAAAAAACACATGACCTCTGGCTCCTGCACTGAGAACCACATCCTCATCCCCTTCTCACACAAGTAAGTCACACCTTGGACTAGACTCTATGAAAGACTCGGTCCTGTAAGTGTACGCACTGATATGTGTTGTCCAAATGATTTACATGATTCTAAACATGAGTTCTATCCTCCTACAGGGGGCAGTATGGAGTTACCAACGTTGGAAAGCAGGAACTGACTCTGGTTCAGGTTGTTCCCCACAACGACAGAGTCTTCGACCGCAGTAAGCCCTTTGTTCAGGCTGCATGTCTCTGGTTGGAGTTTCCACATCAAGTTATCACTGACTTCTAATAACTTTGCTGCTTGTGTGTTGCAGGTGACATCATGAAGGAGCTTCACATGGATGCTGTTGAGGACAGGAGCGTTGTCCAGGATAAAGACGCTGCTCTGAATCTCCTGAGAGAACTGGCCACTCTGCCCGAGACCGACGGCGACAGGAGGGCCCAACTCTTCCAAAAGCTGGTCTCCATGGTCCGGGGAATGAAGACCCAGACCCTGACTCCTGCCATTCCCGAGGCTCTTGAAGTGTCCCGCGTCCTGACCTACCAGGTTCTGGCTCAGTGTGGAACCCCCGAGTGCAGCAGCGCCATCATGCAGATCCTGAGGACCTTCGACAGCGCCTCCCTCGAGGTCGACGCTGCGGTTTTCGCCATGGGAATCATGTCCAATCCCTCTGCCCTCCTGATCAATGACTTGCTGCAGATGGCCAAATACAAGACCAGCAAACCCATCATGTACGCCCTGAGCAACGTTGTCAAGAGGTAAGTTAACCAGATTCCATTCTAGGTAGATTTTCTCAATGATTTTGGAGTGTGGAGGGTGTAAAATAAGCTACACAGGCTTTATTTTAAGCTTTTTTTCTCTCTCTCTCGCTAACAGGTTTTACAAACTGGAAGGAAAACTGATCCCTGAGATTTTCTCTGTTGCTGAGTTCATGGCTGCCCAGCTGGGCGACTGCACTGGAGACAAGGACGAGACCTTCATGAAGCTCAGGGTAGGCACTCCAACATTTCACCCACAGGACAGTCACAGAATGAAAACGAGAGAGTTTTTGTTCTGCAACCTAGATCTACCCCCAGTAGAGTCTGTGCAGTATCAGCATTCTTAACAGCCATATTTACTATTCATGAAAGAATCTCTGAAATGTCATTATTTTCCACATTCAGAGGAATCTGTGCAATATTTGTGTTTCTACATGTGGAAGAATCTGTACAATACCAACAGTACTGATGAGTTTTTCTTGTTTAGCTTTTAATTTTTCTTTACATCTTTCATCTCCTTTGCTGTGGTAACGCTGCACATTTCCCTGCTGGGACAATAATTCAAGCCTGTCTTACCGTAAATCTGGGCTTGGCATGAAGTTGTCTAGCACTTTATTCCCTAAAAGTTGTTAATACCTCAAACTGCTTTTGGCTTTGGCAGCAACAAGTACTTAGAAGGAATATGCTCTCGCTCCTAAATATCAGAACGGTGTGATTGTGACTCAGCATTTGGTGGTTATTTAGCCTAAATAGTAACTTTGCATTTGCTTTTTTTCATTTGTATATTTTACAAATTGACATAAACGGTGCTTTCAGTGTACAGAGCCCTACAGTGCAACCTAAAGCAACAGAAGCAAATGGCAGAAATTATCTTTAAAAAAACAGAAAGCATGATATATATTTGAAGGACGGACTGTCAAAACAAAACATCAAACGTCATTTGATGACCACCCAAAGCATGTTGGAGTTTCGATTCTGCAGAATGAGGAGGATGATGCCTTCTTTTCTTTTTATCTTAGGTGATTGGAAACATGGCTTCAGCTGTGATCCCTGCTGGTCCTGCACTCAGAGGCTCTGTGATGCAGTGTGTGAACCAACCTGCAGCTTCTCCAGCTGTGCAGCAGGCTGCCATCCAGGTGTTCAGGCTGACCCCCGTCCCTGCGGAGGCAAGTCAAACAAT